ACACACCTACATAAGTTTATATATATATATACTCCCAGACATACTCGCGTACATATATGCACACACACACTTAAAAGTATATATATATGTATATATATATAGACCTCAGGCAAGTGAAATGGGCGAAGACATCGAGAAGGAACACCTCGGCAACAACAGAGCCGGTGGAGAAAAAGCGAGTGATGTGGACAGGTACCAGTTTCCGAGTGCATTCCCATCGCTGTTGACAGACTTCTTGGGAAATGTCTCGGGACTTATACTGCGAGATGTGAATATCGGAGTGTCGGATTTGCGCGGCATGATCTATGAGAAAGGTGTGCATTACTTCCTCATTGGTGTGTCGCTCACACGTGTATGATCGGAGAGGTTACGTCTGGGCTTATGTAGGTAGATGGTTATTTAGGCACATTTTTATGTAGGTATATGTTCATATAAGTATTTGTTTATATAGGTATATGTTTATACAAGTATATGTTTGTGTAGTTATTGGTTATGTAGGTATGTTTATCTGTAGGTATTTTTATGTAGGTATATATTAATGGCGGTGTATGTTATTGCAGGTACATATTTTTATGTAGGCATGTGTATATGTTTAGTCCAGACATGTGCTTACGCATGTTTTTATTTTTCCAACTGTTTCGTCTGGATACATTTGTCTGCTATGCGAGGATTGTAAATCTGTATACTGAATTTGACCAGTGCACTCTATTGTCGGACTCGATGTTCGGAACATATGTTTTTACATTTGTACAAATGATATTATATAATATAATATTGTACCTTGTAATATATTATATATATTATATATAATATAATTATTATATAATATAGAAGGTTTAATATAACGATGTCCGTTTCGTTCCTTTCCGGTCGCCGTAATAGAGCTCGTTTCACAGTGTTCTAATTCTCTTATTTCTTTTCCAATGCTCCCATGCATCTCCTTCCGATTGTGCTAATAACATGTGATAGACTGCCCAACCCATCGAGTCGGTGTATTCGGACAAAATACGGAGTTCGATGCGGTTTGCAGAGCCAATGGCACAGCAGCAAGGTACCTTGTCGCAATTCTGCATAACAATCTATTCTCTTGCGCTATTTGCGTTTATTAAGGGTATATACATATTTGTTATTTCCAATTCAATGATAAATATATGTATATATATATAAATGTATATATATATATATATATATATATATATATATATATA